CATATAAAATACAAGTGACGCATATTCAAAGTGAATGTGCAATCGTACACATAGAGCAAAGTTGCTGCACAGATTGAGTCCGCATGAGAGAGACATACAGAGACTCATTGTGTGCTCAGGTAGAAGAAGCCCCGAGCACCTCGGCAGACGTCACGTGGGTTTCAGTAATTCGTACTCCAGTATGATCCTGCTAAACTAGAGTATGTTGTTTGCCTTTCTCTTTGAATAAAAACAAATAACCCCGTTTGGAGAGATGCTCTTGCCTGTGTTTTCTCCAGTTCCTTTCACTGTTTTTGTCTTTTGTCACTTAAAGACTAAGATTTAGTTCAATGGAGCAACAATAGATAGAGCTACACTATAGTAAGTAGCTCCATCTAGTGAATGCATACCCCGCGAGGTGAATGATAGTGGGTTCGAGTGCTTTTGAACAAATGAACTTGAAAATGAAACTCGTCACGAGTGTTGAATAAATATGCAGACGTTAACACGAAAACATGTGCCATGCTCATTGGTAAACGTCTGCAGGAATTATTCAACACAACAGTTGGAGTTTGTCAAGGCTGAATCATTGACTTAAAGCGTTTCGTGACTGCAAGAATTAATATTCTTTGGGTCTTTCGGTAAAGTCACGTATATAGGTTCACGTAGATAGGTTCAAAGAAAATAACAATAACTACGACGTTTCGATCGCAACACAAGCGGTCGTCATCAGGACCGTTTGCGTTGCGATCGAAACTTCGTAGTTTTCTGTCATTTTCTTTGAACCTATCTACGTGACTTTACCGAAAGACCCAAAGAATAAGGCTGAAGCACTTCACGGGTTTAAAGGAACTGTAGCGGTTGGTTGATTGACCATAGAAAGCTTACACTTTGACGACGACATTGATCCAAGAGGAGGTAAATCAAGAGGTACCGACACGATCTCACATTGTGACTGGATGAACAAGCCATCAATATAGTATGGAGATAGGTGTTGAGAAATGCAAAGTTATGGTTTTAGGGGATTAGCGATAATCTTAAGGGATACACATACATTGAATCACATTGAATCGACTATCATAAATGATAGAACATCTCTAGCAGAATGTTTATTCAAGGGTAGCAAAGGCAACAGCCAGACTACCCCCCAACATGAAGAAGATCTGAAATACAATAAAACATCACAATAGGCACTATGATACAAACTCTACAGAACACCAGTGACTTCGGTGTGCCTATATTGATGCCAGATCTGGACGTTTACAGCAAACACGGAAACGTGTAATCCAGACAAGGGAAGTGAGATGCTTTAGAAGGTTCCTGCGCATACTATACACCGTACATACGACCAAGACCAGGTGCTGTCATGATGCAACGAGAACTTGGAACAAACAATAAAGCCGACTCCAGATCACGCAAGCCAGAACACTGCAATGGTATGGACACGTCAGCAGAGATGCAGGACTAATGAACACTACCATGCGAGGTAAAGCAGAGGTGACACGGAATAAAGGGAAATTGCTCAAAAGAATTCGATAACTAATACTGTAGAAAGCACCTTTAAGCTGGCCGAGGGCAGCGATGAAGCCCAAATCTCCGCAAGTCACGGGACTGAACCGAAATAACATGAGCCACAATAATATTAGTAAGTTGCACTTATTAGTAGAATAGTATTAACTTCAGGCTGTTGATGGAAGACCGCCTGGGAATATCTGTTATCGTAGGGCTATGATGAGGTGTCCATCAGATGAAAAAGCAAACGATTATTAAATCAATCTGTCCGAAGATTTGAGTGTTTCTTGAAATGTGCCAAGCACTCTTTCGTGAAATTAGCAAAACATCCCAATGCAAGATCATCCTGAAAGGGTTTTAAGACACACACTTAGCCTTTCCCGATCCAAGGGCATTACTACGCTTTATGTAAGGCGTTGGATGTTGAATAATTCCCACTTGTGCGTGTTGTGCTCTACATTCGCTCGCACACTACTTCGTACAACCTTCACTCGTGTTTTCCTCAAGCATTCATACATAGCATTGTATGTAATGCCCTTGGCCAATGCTGGACTAATGATTCAAGGTGAGATTCATTGCAGAGGAGCTTTAGCACGCTAAGCATACCGTTCCGTTCATTTATAGCCGATATCTGACGTGTTTCTTGTTCGAACCCAATGGGACAACAAGTCTCTTTATCAAGGAATGGCTACAGTGTGGGAATGGACATATAGGGATTTGCAGTACGCGTTGGGTGTCAGTATTTGTACGATTACTCTCCGGAATTGTAAAAACAAATAAAAAATAAACATCGGACCTCTCAAGTGTGCACACGTTTCGCCAAAGATCTATTTGGGCACGATTGACTCCCCATCTCCGTGCGATCTCGCAGGTACCATATAAATCAATTAGCAATATTAGCCGGGCCCCTAAGGGCAAGAGACCACGTCTGGGGAGCCGGTGGCAATCTAACAATCCGACTGTCAAGCGCGTAATCCGTCTCGCTAGGAACGCCCGCGTACGAGACGTGTGCCTTCACCGATAAAGTCTCCGAATTGGGAGTTCTCCGTTCTCCAAAGTTACAAAAAATACACTGCAAAAAAAAAACACCACAATAAACGTGTGATTACATTTAAATTGTCACATCACGTTCATCGTGCAAAAAAAAAATCCACACGCGATAATCCACGGTAAGTAAACGTTGTTAACGCGTTGTCAGAGACGCTGCTTAAAGTTTAATTATGACCGCCGTGGTGCATTTTCAGTGAACGCAAACAACAAAAAACCAGGCGCGAGCCGCCAACTGCCCCGTGAGTCGACGCACAATGCCGTTAAGTAACAAGAAAAGAATACATTTTGCGCAATTAATGCGCACGCGAGGGACCCTTCCCTCGGCCGTCCCGTCGGTCGGAGCAGCAGCAGCAGAGCCACGCCGAACTCATCTGCGCTTGTGACGGCGCGAGGGAGGGGAGGTGGTGGTGGTGGTGGTGGTGTTGGGGGGTGTGGACGGGCCGTGTTTGGTGGCGTGCTTTTTGAGAAAAGCGCCGAATAACGGTTTTACCCGCCAAATTTCGAGACCTCAGATGACGGAGCCTAAATGAGTGATCAATGCCCAGCCACCCAAGCCATCCACCCACCGCACACACCGCACACACCCCACTCGCCAACCCATCCAGCCACCCCCAGCCATTCTCTGCGCGTGGCATTGTGTTTTTTTGTGTTGTTACGCGCTGCGTTTCTTTTATTATTTCGCTTCGTGTCCATCTGTCAGTCGGGGTGGGGGACGGCGGAGGGGGGGGGGGGTCCCGGGCTCCTGCTCGTCTCCGCCGCGCTTTTGCCAAACGGACCTTGATCTGTCCGAGGGATAACGCGATTAAACACGCGAGGAGAGAATCGAGGCGCAAGCCCCCGAAAGAGAGGCAAGCCCGCCCCGTGAGCACGCGCGCGCGCGCGCTCGCGCCACTCAGTGCACAATGGGTGCCCGCGGACCCCCAAATTCAAATAATTTGATTTCCACCTTCATTAAGGCGGCGCGTGGCCGCGGATCGCGCGGCTCACGGGCCGCCGCTCTCTTTGTCTCGGAGCGCGTGCGGGACGCGTGCCCGACGAGTAATCGATTAATCACGAGGCTTAAAGGCTTACGCGTACAAAATGGGGCCCTCGGCTTAAGGGAAGATAGAGACTTCTGGCCCTCTCGGCGACAACACCCGGAGCTTGTGTGCTCCACATGCGGCGCGAGGAATACGTGCCAATCGCTTTGGCCGCGGTGCTTCTACTGTTTGCCTGATTGTATCTGACAACGGAGAGGCATTTAATAGCCCGCGAATTGTCAGCAATTGATAAAGGAAGCGGTGTGTGACAGTTTATAACTTGCATTAATCCGTTTCAAAGAGTCGATAAGGGGGGGGGGGGCATTAAAGAACTATTAGGGTGAACTTAAGCGCAATTGTATAAACTATCACTCAAATATCAGAGTAGGTTTTACCCTTTCTGGCAATAAAACAGTTGTGTTAAGATTTTGAAACACCAAACAGAAACATTTTGCAAGGGATCATGTCTGCATTAACCACACATACTTGTCGTGAACATGCAAAAATAAACATTCTCTGATAATATATGTATTGTCTTGTTATAACTCACGTACTGCCATATGAATACTGAATATACTGTATTACATTTTTGCGTGTAAATTCTTAGCAAATAAAAACTGGGATAAACTTTAGTTATTGCAATGCACTGAAGACGCGTTTCGATTATATCTATTTTATTGGTTAAAAAGGAGTGTTTTAAAAGTTTCGACACAGTGCTGAGTCAACTCGTGTACGATTAAAACGTGTTCGATTTTACCCTCAATATGAAACAAAATAAATTGTACGTTTGCTATATCCTATCTCTTTTTTAATCTTTGCTACAGAATGCTACAATTGTGTGACGCTTGAACTGTATGTACTTAAAATATATTTCATTCGTTCTTTACATATCAATTATACGTTACAAACAGTGGATTGTCAAACGTTTCTAAATTATTATCATTACTATTGATGAACATGTCAGTATTCAATAAACTAAGCACGTGCCGATGTCACGCTTCCGTCACCATCCCACTCCGAAAAGTGATTGACCTCCCGTTAAGCACTGATAGCGACAACCACACCATCCTACCGCGTGATTGATCACAGTGTGCCAACACACAAAACCCATACACCATTCACACGCATTATACAATTATCAACACATTATAAAACCTTCAAGCAATTCCACGGCCGAGTCCATTTCACGGGGCGAGAGATGTTGTGTACTGGTTGTTTGTTTAAAAATCATTACCGTACCAGCATTCACCCCCTCTACGCAAGCTATTAATATCTCATGGAAAAGTCGGAACCCGAGACGCAAAATTAATTTTTCCTAGAGGAGGAGAATAGCAGCTCTACGGCGCCTCTCTAACTAGCGACAGATGGCTTCTGCTCGGGCCACAAAGGGATATAAGCGCGGATCGGGACTCGGCGCGGCTGCAATACAAATCGTGGCACACCACGTGGCCAGGGCTCTCGGTGACGTAGAGGAGCCATATGGCTCACCATCCTCTCCTATAATCTGGCGGCTGGTGGCGGGATTCGCGGACAGAGCGCTGAGCGAGGGCATGGGAAGGCTCTCCGGTAAAGCGCTGAAGCTTCTCCTGACGTGGCGCGCACGGAGCCGAAGCGAGCGAGCGAGCGCGCGCAGAGCCCCAGAGCCCTGCACTGCCTATGACGCCCGGCTACTGACACAGGTACGGGCAGGGACTAAACACTGCTTGAAGAATGGTAATAGTAATAATGATTATAATAGAACATCAGGGAGCGCGTCGGTTACGTGACAGTCTGTGCGCCACACGCGGCGGTGTCGTTCTACACAGGAACTATTCGCTGGCGACCGATTGCAGTGAGACAAATTATTGGAGAATATTGAATGCGCCGATCGAGTAACCAGTCCAGTGTATTTTCTATCGTACGCATGAACTTATTTTTTGTTTCTTTGAGTAATTTTATTTAGTTTCATGGAAGTGTAACCCATAACAAATCTAGCGTTAGTTTATGTAACAATGTTAAATATAAATGCTTCCCTAGTTTAACTTTGTATGCGCGTACTTTCCTGCATTCGGGATGCAATTTCTCTCTTTTGATTTCACCGCTCTTACCACAAACAAAGCTTTGCAAGCTACCTGTTTGTTATCAGTTGCGCATTTGCGCTGCCCATACATCCCACTGTTCTTTTCCTGGAAAATTTAATGGCTTTTCAAATTTCAAATGAAAAAAATCGAAATCAATTATGAAGTACAATAGAGGAAAAGAATAGTACATTGCGTGCGGGGTTGCTATATATTTCGCCCGGGCAGGCTGCACGCAAACAGCCCGTCTCGCCAATGTTTATGACTGCACAGATTTCGCACCTGATCCCCGAGGATTATTGCGCCAGCGCGCTTCTGCTTATTTGAATATACCCGCGAGTATTGTAATTGTATGCAGTACAGAAATACCACGTAGCCTCTAGTTATATGGCATGTATAGAGCCGCGCTGGACACGCTGTGCGTCAGTGCGGACGATAAAAAAACGAGTACAAAATAAGAGTCACGTTTTCCATGATCATTCATCGCTTTATTTCTATCCGCCACTCTCGAGTTGCCCGAAGCGAGTCCAACCCCAATCTCTTGGCTTGGGATGATGCAGACTCCTGATAATCTGATTACATGTGCCAATCAGCTTTCATTTACATAATCCCTTTGCATGCCGCACAAATCGGTCCCTTATATACTAATCTATAGGCTATCTACTTGGTCGGCTACAATCCCTTCTCGGGATTTCTTTTTCGTTCGGGGGGGCGGCTGGGTGGGGGGGTGCAGATGATGTGCGTCTGGAGAGATGAGATGCAACGACCCGTGGCGTGCACTTACAATACTCATAATGGAATTGCAATAATAATGAGAATAAAGCTTTTATTTAGTAAACAGTTGAACTGCGATACAGTGCTATTGGTAAAAATGCATCAAGTCTACATCGGCGTGAACACGTGTCGATATGAAAACGACGTGAAGAGTGAGCATCGTACAAACGAATTGAGCAGTATTTGTGCAGTATACAGTATGTTCTTGGAAAAATGTATATTCATTGCATTACGATATATATATATATGCACACACAAGACGTGGGATCAATGATGAAATGAAAACGTTCTCACAAAAGTAATGTCAGGTGTACTTTATTATATGAACAAGGAAGCACGCGTATGTCTGGTAACAATACGTGTGTGTGTTGTCATTTGTGGCAGCAAACACAACTCAGAGCTGTAATGTGGCGACTGTTGTGAGTGATGGCTTTTTGTTTTCCTAACGGCCATTTCTTTGAAACAACTTGAATCGAAGGTATGAAGACAGCCGAGCCGTGCGCCGACACCACGCGAATGATGGAGAACCTCTCGAACTGGGTCGAGGAGTGCCTCACGGAAGACGAGGACATGAAGGGGAGCGGCCGTGAGGACTGCGAATCTCAACACGACCTGCTCTCGCTCTCCGCCTCCTACGACAACGACGACCTGGCCGACGACGACGATAAGCAGGACGACGACGACGCAGACGACTTGGAGGAGGACGAAAACGACGACCAACAGAAACCCAAACGCCGGGGCCCCAAAAAGAAGAAGATGACCAAGGCGCGGCAGGAGCGCTTCAAGATGCGCCGCGTCAAAGCGAACGCGCGCGAGCGGAACCGCATGCACGGGCTCAACGCGGCGCTCGACAACCTGCGCAAGGTGGTGCCCTGCTACTCCAAGACGCAGAAGCTGTCCAAGATCGAGACGCTGCGCCTCGCCAAGAACTACATCTGGGCGCTCTCGGAGATCCTGCGCGCCGGCACCAGCCCCGACCTGCTGAGCTTCGTGCAGACCCTGTGCAGGGGCCTCTCGCAGCCCACGGCCAATTTGATCGCGGGCTGCCTGCAGCTGAATCCGCGGACATTCCTGCCAGAGCAGAGCCCGGACTTCATGCACATGCAGGCGCCCGGCGGCGGCGGCGGCGGTGGAGGTGGCGCGGGTGGCGGTGGAGGAGGTCCATCTTCCTACGCGATGAGCGGCCACCACCACCACCCACACCACCACCAACACCACCACAACAACAACCACCACCACCACCACAATCACCACCCGTACGCGGCGGCGTTTCACCACTCGCCCGGCTTGCCGAGCCCGCCCTACCACAGCACCATGGACAGCGCCCACCACGCGTTCCAGATCCGGCCCGAGAGCTACGGAGCGGCCCTGGACGGCTTCTTTGAGACGGGCACCGCGCCGCCGCCGCCGCAGCAGCAGCAGTCGCAGCAGCAGCAGCAGCCACCGCAGCCTCCATCCGCACAGGCTGCGGCAGCGGCTGCTGCGGCTGCTACTGCTGCGGCTGCTGCTGCTGGCGGCCAGGAGTGCGCGAGCCCCGAAAACTACGACCCGCCCCTGAGCCCTCCGCTCAGCATCAACGGGAACTTCTCGTTTCGACAGGAGACGTCGGCCGACTTCGAGAAGCCCTATCGGTTTCACTACGCGGCGGCGGCTGCCGGCGGTGCCGCGCACGGAGCCGGCTACCCCCCGCCAAGCTTGCGCTGTGACCCCCCCGTTGAGGCGGCCCCCTACGATATCCACCCGCAGCACGAAAGACTGCTCATGAGCTCGCATCTCAACACCATATTTCATAACTGATTGTTCAATGATGAACAACAACTTCGCACCCCCTCCCTCCCCCGCCCCAACTGCGTTGTTCACACGCGGCGCAAAAGTTCAACGATGTTGGCACTCTGTGTGATAAACTTAACAGTGATCGCGCTTATTTGTATTGCTATTTTGTGTTTTATTACAACGCGTGTTTTTTTTACGTTGCTTCTGCTGGTATCACTGGGAAACGAATATTTCCTTCTGCTGTTCGTGAAATCTCATTTGTGACACTTTTCGAGAGTATTTAACTGGTGGCGCCACGCCGAGGTGACCGCGTGATTTTTTTAGAATTCGCCCGTCGCGTTAATAGCCCTCGATGTAAGAGAATCGTATATCGTGACTCACAATGTAACAGCAACAATATTTTGGCTGTAGTGCGATTGTGCTTGTGTATATAATAAGAGGTGTGCGTATGTAAAATCACCTGCCCGACGCTATTGTGCCCTAATAGACGCTTTGCATATTTAAAAAAGAAAAAGGTAAATGTACTACTGAACGCGGTTTTTTTTGGGTCCCTGACTGTCATTGCGAGCAATAATTAGGAAGCTATGCAATTTTTGAATTGTGAACCATCCGCGAATTTTACGATTATTTAATTGTCTTCTCACACAATGACAAATTTTTTGACTTCCACTTGCTTTTTGTATGCAATTTCTAACGAGACTTTTATATCGACGAGTCCATATTTTTGCGTGTGAGTTTGTAATCGCTGCCACGTTGATGATAAAGGGTAGTCAGTTTGTAAGCTCGAATAATAACAATGATAAAAAAACACGTTAAAAAATAAAGTTTATGTCTACCAAGAAACAGCCTACTCTAAAGACGATTGCCTTAGACGTTTTATACAACATGCGGCATGAAGAAAGTTGATGGATATGTATTAAGAAAGTGATTAAATATATTTAACAAACAAATACATAATAATGTAGTTTTGCTGCCAATTTATTTTTTGTTGGGCCAATCATCAAGTCTTTCCTCTTGCCATCGGTGATACCTTATTCATGTGCACCACATTCAAGTGCTTGCTGTGTCCCATTTCATTACCACACAGCAGGTCTCTGTGCGAGAATAGGAAACTTGTGCTTAGGAACACTAGCGGTTGTTTTGTACATATATATTTTTGCTCTATGTATATCCCAGTGACATGAAATTAGCTCTTCATCCTATTTGATGGGATTTATTCATTATTTGATCTTTTTTTAAATGGAACCGATGTCTATTTTGATAGACTGCAAAAGTGTACATGCGTAAATTTATTTGCAAATAAATTATCGTAAATAAATGTTAATAAAAATTGTTGTTGGTGGCTTGTTGCCTATTGTGACTCAAAATGCTTAAATGTGGGAAATCTTTCGCTGCGTTTACACTTCAATACTAATACTAACAACATCAGAAACTGTTTGTGGTTCTTATTTGTATGAAGTATTTTATGAGCGTGATGTTCACATCCACAATACGATACCCGAAAATATGTATTGGATACCGGATGACTATACATAGCTTGATCATTATACAATGTTTCGTGTGATAAAAAAGAATTACAAACGTTATGTAATAGAAATTCCATTCTGAGCAATTGAACACTGGAGGTAAAGTCAATGGAGGTACATCAGGCACTATGACTATGCTCCGATAATGTTGCACATCCATTATATTATTCATGATGAGGTTAAAAATTAACCCAACCACAAAATGTAAATCACATTGACTTCGTGTAATTTCTATGGATGCATACAAAAGCGTAAATTGTAAAGGTTTGTTGAAAAATAGGGATCTTTTCATCAATTGTCAAATAATGTTTTATCACGGTTAAGATAATAATTAGGTAGCAACCACCTGTGTTATTGAATATAGGCAAATGTACGTAACACATTTGCCACGTGCGTGGAAAATTCGCTTTCTAATACCTTACCATAATTATCATGGCAACATATTAAATTTCCATTACGACAGATATTAAGTACATAACCACATAAACGCACTGATTATAATATATGTATGCAATCGTGACTGCATTTTTATGATAGTCTAGAAAGATATATAGATATATGAAATTTGGAACACACAACCATAGCCAAGTTTATGCTTATTTACCTATATAAAAAAAACAACTATATGCCATATATTAAAAAAACGAACTTTGAACTTTGAGTCCTCAAAAATGATAGCCCAGAGATTGATTGGTTTTATTCATTGCACAGAGTCAGACTAAAGTTCTAAATTAAAAAGTGATTTGCCTCCCATGTAGTGTGATGCTGAAGCCAATAGCAAGAAAAAACGCTACTGGTTACTCATAAATAAATAAAATCTACTTAAAAATAGGTCACTTTAGCCGCAGCCCATCTGCTGCTACCTCTGTTGAATGAAATGACAAAGGCATACAATCCCTACTCGTTGCTATTATTCTATAAAAGGGGTTAAGCCTCTACTTTAAGTAATAATGTCGGTGCAGTCGACCTGCAAATCTGATTGTGCCGTAATCTTTCGCAGGTCTCCCAGGTAAAGAGTGCTGGCACATTGCAGCTTGTCATAGCCTTGGCATCATACGTTATCCCTTCTGTTGCCAGGAAACCAGTGCTGGCAAATCTCTTGGAGCACTGGGGTTGGAATAGAGACTGAAGGGTGACACGCGCATGTGAAAAAAACACGGAGCCTCTAAATGCTGATTTCAAACTCATAGAGAGCTTCACAAGACTTGTCGTCAGTGATCTGTAGTGATAAGTCCTGCAGGTGGATGCGTAAGTGCACGCACAAGTATAATATTTATAGTGGCATTGCAATTCCTAGCGTGTTGCATGACGACAATATCTATTAAGAATGAGTGATGTGGGATGTGCAGTGGTTAGCAAGGCCTATACAAAAAAATGAACGTAAATATTTCACAGATTTAAAAATTAAATTAACCAATCACACTGTTCCACTTCAGGGGCCAACCTAACAGGTCAGAATTATGATCTTGAATCACATTGTGTTTTTACAATCTTTGTAGTAACTTCTTTACAGTGTTGTATACAGAAACCACATCAAACAACCCTCAATATCGACTATCTCATGCCAGACTTGGCCCTGACCCCCCCCCTCCCCCCAAAAAAGCCCCCCTGCCACGAAAACGATTTAAAACCAACAAACAAACAAAAGTCCAAACACTGATGCAGAACGCTGTCGCAGCAGGGCTGAAATGAAATGGATTGCCAGATTGCCTCTGGAACAAACAAACACAAAAAAACGTGAAAACGTGCAACAACAACAAAAAAAAAGGCGTCGGGGAGGCCACTGCTTGTTCATCACAGCGAGGGATCTGGCGGGTGGGCCACAACGCCAGCGCACAACACCCGTGAGTCCGTTGGGTGCCTCCACGCGGTGGAGTGGAGGGCGGAAAAACGTGGCCCCGAGGCAGCAGCCGCAGCCGCGCGGACACGGCGCGGCACCCCGCCTGCCGCCAGCTGCCAAGCTCGGAGGCCCACGCTGCACGTGGGAGGGGAGCCAGAGCCTCTCGCTGCCTGCCTGCTTGCCTCTGTCTCTCGCTCTCTGTGTGTCCACGGCAATTTGCCCACGCCGTATTAGGCCGAACAAAATGTTAATAAATTGAGACGGAACTGGGAGTTTAGATTAACATGCCCGTTGATGTGGCGATGGCGGTGCCAGGATTTTCTGTGATCGGTTTATATCGGAGTCGGTTTGTTTTCCTCCTTTTTTTGTGTGTCACTGACCGAAATAAACATCCCGCTTAAAGAATTTGCCGTGGAAATCATTCTTTGCCATTCGTTTTTTTTAATTGAATATTGTTCTTATATATTTTCACACGTTCGCGAAGCCTATGATTTCATTGAGGCAATGACACGCACTGGATTACTCATCAATGTAAATATGTAGTTATCAAACAACATTGGCACTACTATTATAATTTATCATGCTTTGCACATCCTACGTACATTTTTCCATTAGCTGTTAACTAAATTGCCAAATGCGTATTGCAAGTTCAAAGACAACAACATCCCCCTTACAGCGTTAACATAATCTTGGGGGCAAGTGCAGGTAGCGAGTACCTCTTCTTGGTTCTTTCGGTAAACTCACGTAGAATGGAAACAATAAAATAACAAAAATAAAACATAGACTCTGTCTACTCGACAGACCTGCTCTCCACCTGAGGACGACTGCTTGCGTTGTGGCCGAAACGTCGTGAGAATTATTTTATTATGTTTTATTTTTATTATTTTATTATTTCCATTCTACGTGACTTTACCGAAAGAACCAAGAAGATGAATCCCTGCAGTCACGAAAGCTTTAAATCAAAATTTAGCGAGTACCTATGAAGGCAAACACGGCACACGAGGGGCTGGTTGACCAGAACCACACCCGGTCGCCTTTGTCTTCCCAGTACTAATGTTTTACACACTGCACAAGGTATTCATTTGAGGCTGAGTCGACCTAGGGAAAACACAGAACCGCATCAGATAATCCTCACTGGTATTGGCTGAGCGGGAATCGAATTCGGCACAGCGCGCTAACCACGATACTACGCTACCGCTCCCCATATACAATACTGTTTCAAGTATTTGTACAGTCCAGACACACACAAAGACATCAAAAGTTTAATGTCATATATTTGTGTCGTATCTGGATCTTCATTGACTTCGACGAAATGAATTGAAATATCAAATTTGCGAATCACAACATTTATTCTCACATCACTTAACATTTTGCTTCAAGTTTGCGAGGGCGATCCCGTGAAAAGTAGGATTATAAAGCCCCCCCCCCTACCTCCCATGCAAAAAAGAAGAGATAAAATTCGTCTCTTTTTACCGAGAAAAATGCAAAGCAGAGAAATCACAACACCTTCAATCGAAGCAGCTCGGGTAGCTTTAAGTTGTGTGTAATTGGTTTACAGCACAAACCAGTGGTGCTTTTTTCCTGTGATTCCCTGCCAGGCTGTAGGGGTGGCGTCAGCTTATTTTTTTGTTGGACACAAGAACGAGCCCCCTCCGAATTCCATCCGCGCCCGAAGGACAGGGACTGCCGGCCAATCACCGGGTTTCAAAACGGCAAAAAGATTCCTTAGGTTCGCTGAAGGGCGTGTGTGGGGAGATGGGGGGGCATTGCCTCCTTCTCCTCCCCTCTCCATTCATGGGAAACAGACGCAGATGTTGCTTCCGCGGGGTGAGCATTCTAATTTATGAAAATCGCAACCATGAATATGCATGAGAGGCAGCCGCTCGTGAAGGCTGGAAACACGCGCTATGTAGAGGGGCCACCCCGGCCAAACGTCTCGCAAATCACTGATTGGGGGGGGGGGGTTCTGAGATCTGAAGTGGTGCTCATGCTACACAATACAAGAGGAGAGGAGGGGGGTGGGGTTAACAAAGATTCCACCTGCCCCCCGTGCCGTCTCGAACACTGTTGGGGCAATTGCTGTTCGCGAGCACTTGTGGAAGGCCGGCACGGCACGCGAGGAGGTGCATGGATAAAAAGAGGTGTAGAAAAGCAAACACGCCCGGCCGCCTTTGTCTCCCCAGTACTGATGTTTACACACCACGCTGGGTACTCTCATGTAAAAAAAGACCTTTATAAACATAAAATGAAGAGCATTACATTTTCCTCAAAAATATAACTATGTTAAACACGAATATATAGTATTATTTACTTGCAATTGTCTACCTATGATATACTATAATAAATTACAGCCCTTTGGCAATTAACTACAGGATCGATGCATTAACATATCTCATAATTGTAAATGCTACTTAAAGATCGTTTGGACAAATGTTTGGTAAATTGAAGGTGATAAATGCCACTTAATGTTGGGTCTGAGAAATACTTGACGTTTTAACGATCGCTGGGGAAGGCAGCAATTAAATGAAATCTTTTACATTGACATTTTTTTTCATTTGCATTTGTGTGCCCCGTCCACACAGAAGGGAAAGAAATCGTAAATTGGACGTACCCACTGCGGCAGCGCCGTCGCTATACGGGTATGAATGCAGGTCAGACAAACGCGATTTAACCCGGGGTTCTCAGCTACGATTGAGAGATGATGTTTGCAGCACGACACTGCAGTTTGTTGTTTCTCCAGCGGTCGCCTTGCTGGTCAGTGCAGGCTTGGAAGAAGCCGGTGGTGGGCACAGGACCGGTTCAGATAAACCGCACCGCTGGAATCGTGGCCAGGAATCGAACTCAGGTGAGGGAGTGAACAGCGTACTGCTCAAACCACTTCGCCATTCCTCCCCTCCGTGATATTCCCATACAGTCAACACAAGTTATGACATCTGTGGGTATTGACATCATTAGACCTCCTTTGCCAGTACCAAAATATAATAATAGGGTTTTTACCCTTTTTTCTGGCAATAAAATTGAAACCTTTTTACAAGGATTCATGTCTGCATTAAACACAATACTTGCAGTCAAAATGCAAACAAAAAACACACGGATAATATATGCATTGTCCTTTAAACTGATTGGTCCACACCAGAGACAGCTTTCTGTTGAGCCTCGTCTCAATTGGTGCTCGACCAGATGACGCCAAAAGGCGTACAGCTCAAAGACAATGCACTATCAAAGTAAGCTCTCATTACGCCTTTTGGCGTCATCTGGTCGAGCACCAATTTAGACGAGGCTAAACAGAACGCTGTCTCTGGTGTGGACCAATCAGTTTCAAGGACAATGCATATATTATCAGTGTGTTTTTTGTTTGCATTCTGACCACAAGCATTGTGGTTAATGCAGACATGATTCCTTGTAAAAGGTTTCAGTTTGGTGTTTTAACATCTTAATACGTGTTTTGTTGCCAGAAAAAAGGGGAAAACCCTATTATCACAGTAATACACTTTTGAATTACTTCAGCCCTCTCGTGCTCCTGACACTTTCTCTATCTCCCTAATTCCTAATCCATGTGTATTATACAGCTTCATAAGCGTGTCCATCCTTTACACCCTGCAGCTAACAATTGTATTCCGCTTTACTTATTCAAAAATTGTGGTCATATCTTGTTATCAAGGTGGAGCTGCTGATGAAGAAAAGCATCTGTAAAGCAGGCAAAGACAGCATGACCGCGTACTGTGTGGAATAGCGTTTGATAAAATTTGGTCTGTGAAGGAATTTGTTCTACATATACAAGTATACAGGGCACTCAAAACTTTATAAATAGATCATTATTATACACAATTACCTTTGCAAGTAAACCTGTAGTAATATACGAATCACATTCAGAATTGCATAGTTCGGACATCACTATTTTACGTCTGACACAAGCATATTTCAGAATGCATGTTAAATACCATATAACTCTACCCAGACGTAATCATCCTCAAAACACGGTATTCATATATATATTTGAAAGATAAAACATATTAAAGAACATTTTACAGCTCCTCGTCATATATATGCAGCATACGTAGGTAATCCCAAATGTCATTACACAATACTTCCGCATTCACTTTTTAAAATTACAAATATTGTGGAAGGAAACGATCGATTCTGGTTCATTCATATTACGGTGCAGCATCTACTTTACGACTCCATCGCCGCAGGTGACCAGAGGAAGTCGCCCCACAGAAAGCGAATGCACCCCACAGCGTGTCACACGTCATGGCCAGCGAGTGCTGAAAATAAAAATTAACCCGTAAAAACAAAGTTTTTCACTATAAATCCTTTATATGCGTGGCATCGGTTTTATTTTATTATTCATTTCTGTTTTTCTTGAGTAAGAGTTTCATTTTTATCACATTGGTATTTTAAATTAAATATGAAATTTTCTTTTTTCCAAAAGAGTGGAACATTTTGGAAACAAATTTTCACGAAAATAAATTGTCACGCACAACGAGTCTGTGTGCAAAATGTCAGCTCGATTGGATCACGGGAAGTGGGTTAAAAAACGACCAAAAGATTTGCACGGTCGTAAGCGCATGCAAGCAAGTGAACTTAATATAAAGGATTTAATAAAAATGCAGAACGATCGGCGCCTGCCCGTGTAACTGCTTCAACTCGTTTCGTGAATTTGTAGAAAATCCTGGCGCTTTGCTTCGTATGAATTTCCTATTTAAATTAATTTTTAAAAGATAAAGACATTTTTTATTTGCACGGCAATCAAACCTTTGCAGATAGGGCCACCGTTTCTGATGTTTGTCCCGTTATTGGATACATTGGG